TTTTCTATTTTATTGACCTATTAATAAATAAATATAAGGAAGGAGGATGGATGTGATATTTGCCATTAGTGATTAAACTTATTCATTTAGTTACGAATCTCACTGGTAAGCATCAATAGCAGCAAGAACTCCCAAAATTGATGCCATTCTTAGGAAGCCAGCAGGAAAAGGAGAAATTACTGATCAAGCAATGCGATAAGGAAGTACATATTTGATGATAAAGAGGTTTTTAGAATTAAGAACTTTTTTAGGAAATGTAAATAACCCTAATGTTTCACTAACAGAAAAACTCTGGAATGATCTTGCAGAATTGGAAACTCTACACCGTATATAGCCACAAAAAAGCTGCAATCTGAAGAATTGACAGGAGGCGAGAATGGAAGAATGTGAAGTTTGTTCTTTCTGAAATGGAGGGTTTATTGCAGAAGGAATCATTTCTTCAATGAAGAAAAGAGAAACTAGTTTGCTAGACAATGAGATCTTGCTGGGTTCAATATATGTAGACACGAAACACCAAATTTTCTTGGATGGGGAACAAATTAAAAAGGCAAAGAAAGCCAGCTATGAACTTTCATTAAGAATGAAATTATTCTCAGAATGATTGGAGAATTCGAATCAGGGCAGTCAAACTGCAGACATTGCAACTGAGTCTCTATCATCTTTTTCCATTGATGAATTAGATTTTGAGAAATATTTTTAGATAATATTGAAAAAGCTAATGCAAAGCGAATGAAAAAAAAAAGAGTCTTTAGGTATAAAAATGAAAAAAATACAAACAAGATTTCTACACGGCCTTTGAAGAAATAGAGAAGTATGATTGTGCTTGCAATACACCTCTTTTAGAACTTATAAAAATCTATCCTGAAAAATTAAAAGAAGTAGCCCTAACAGTAACAGCTCTTCCTCTTACTCAAGTTAATGTGGAAAGACTCTTCTCAGCTCTAAAGTTTATCAAACTGATCTATGGCCCTCCAACAAAGAAAATCTTGCTGAAACTATACCGTTTCTTAGTAAATTAATAACTGGCATTAGTTATTTAAGTAAACAGTATAACTTATTAAGCTATATTGTTTACTTAAATAACTAATGCCAGTTTTTCCATTTCATAATAAATGCTAATGGCTAATCTTTGGAATATGGTAACAGGTAGTTTGGCAACATTTTGGTAAGGCGATAAAGATTACTAGCTAGGACTTTAGTAGTGTACATGGATATAGTCAAAAGTGTGCGCAATGCATTTTTGTGCAATTCTGGGATGTTTTTTTAAGTGAAAATAGGTCGACATGTACATGGATGATACCGTGTATGTGCAATTCGTAAAAACGCGGCAAGCAGTGGGCGATTCTGCACTTTGTCCCAATTTCGCACCTAATCTTCATCATGATTGAGTACTTTTGTTCCATAAAAGTTCTAGCATAAGCGTAATTGGTTGATCTCTACAATATGGTAACTGTTAGTTTGGCGACATTTTGGAGGCGATAAAGGTTACTACCTGGGACTTTGGTAATAATGTGAGCAGTACTCAGTTCCGATTACGCATTATTTTGCGTGAGGGAAATGAGAGATCATGGGATATGTCATGTGATATTAATGGACAAATTACGGTTCTTTAATCGGAAAAGGGCGGAAATTGGGAAAAAATCTGGAAATTTTGTATTTAGCTTTATTCTGTGTTGTGTGAAACAGTGTTGTTTAATTTTTGGATCCCATGGCCCTAACTAAAGTGAATTTGAAATGGGTATTTAGGCATTGTGATAAAGAGAAGTTTGCTTTTTATTTAGCGGCGGAAGTATGGAGGAAAAATTCGCAGAAAAAATCTTTCAATAATTTTATTGAATGAATTAGAAAAGTGTATCCGCCACGTAATCAAGATTCTGAAGAAGATTAGGTAAGTTAGTATTTTTAATTATTTGAGGATATTATTTTTATGCACTGTTCTAAATGTAAGGTGGAAAGGAATTTGGTATTATTGGGAAAATTGTTATTAGCAATGATTTAGTTTAAAGTAATTAGGATTGTAAGGTAATTTTTATTAATTTAATGTATGTGCTCATTTATATTTTAAGTAGTGTTTTTGAATTTAATTATATTTTAATGAAATGATAGTTAGTTTGTGAATTTTATGTTTGTAGGAATTTGGTATACGTTTTAGTTGAAATAAACGTGCATGGAAATAATTTAAATATTTGATACTAAGTATTTGTAATGCTTGCGGTATGAATTCGTTGGTGACGTGTATAATGTAATAGATGATTTAGAGGTAAAAGTTTTTGGATATTTTATTTATTTTATATGTGGAAATGTTCATATTTGTAAAGGGTAAATACTTTTTCGTGATCAGGGAATTTCATATATGTTCTTTTTACCGGGTTTAAAGATTGAGAAAATTGTCATGTATTTTCATGAAATTTTTCTAATTTATGAGAAAAAAGCAGTGTACATGGATATAGTGAAGAGTGTGCGCAATGCCATTTTTGTGCAATTCTGGGATGTTTTTTTAAGTAAAAATAAGTCGACGTGTACATGGTTTAGTGATATTTTAATTAAATGCTAGTTATTTTGTGAATTTTATGCTTGTAGGAATTTGGTATACGTTTAAGTTGAAATAAACGTGCATGGAAATAATTTAAATATTTGACACTAAGTATTTGTAATGTTTGCGGTATGAATTCGTTGGTGACGTGTATAACGTAATAGATGATTTAGAGGTAAAAGTTTTAGGATATTTTATTTATTTTATATGTGGAAATGCTCATATTTGGAAAGGGTAAATACTTTTTCGCGATCAGGTAATTTCATATATGTTCTTTTTACCGGGTTTAAAGATTGAGAAAATTGTCATGTATTTTCGTGAAATTTTTCTAATTTATGAGAAAAAAGCAGTGTACATGGATATAGTGAAGAGTGTGCGCAATGCCATTTTTGTGCAATTCTGGGATTTTTTTTAAGTAAAAATAAGTCAGTTTATGTGTATGTGTTATTTTGAAAAACGCCTAAGGAGTATGGTATTATGCACTTTTTCCCAATTTTGCAGTGAATATTTGTCATGATTAAGCAGTTTTGTTAGATAAAATTTCTAGCATAAGTGTAATTCGGCTAGTAGATTGTTAGAAGAAGTGTTCAGTAGATAAAAAGAAGAGAAACATGTCTTTACTTCGTGAAGACAAAATGGCGGCAGGAAAAAAAAATAGAGGTTTGCTGTAGGAGAGTTGGTCGCCAAATTTTCGCCAAAAAAATGCCAAGTTACCATAATGTAAAGATCAACCGTTTTTTTAAGTAAAAATAAGTCGGCGTGTACATGGTTTATGTGTATGTGTTATTTTGAAAAACGCGTAAGGAGTATGGTATTGTGCACTTTTTCCCAATTTTGCACTGAATATTTGTCATGATTAAGCAGTTTTGTTTGATAAAATTTCTAGCATAAGTGTAATTCGGCTAGTAGATTGTTGGAAGAAGTGTTCAGTAGATAAAAAGAAAAGAAACATGTCTTTACTTCATGAAGACAAAATGCCGGCGGGGAAAAAAAATAGAGGGTTGCTGTAGGAGAGTTGGTTGCCAAATTTTCGACAAAAAATCGCCAAGTTACCATAATGTAAAGATCAACCGCGTAATTTGGCTATCAGATTGTTGGGAAAAAATGTTGAGTAAAAAAAAAAAAAATGCCTTTTACTTCGTGAAAACAAAATGGCGTCCAAACAAAAACTAGCAGGTTGCTGTTGCAGGGTTGGTCGCAAATTTTCGCCAAAAAATTGCCAAGTTACCATAATCCAAAGATTAACCATGCTAATTTATATAAATAATGTGCTATGCAATCAAATTTTTTTTTTTTTTTTTTTTTTTTTTTTCTGTAGTATCCATTACTTCTTTTATATTAAAAAAATAAGCTGTAACACATGTGTATAAGTTTACATCTATATATATGAGGGAGTCAGAGTCATTAAAATTCCAGGAGTCAGTCATTTTCCCTACTGAATCCACAGCCCTGGTTATAACATTCAAAAAATGAAGTGTCCAAGCTATTATGCAATGAAGTTACTGATTATACTTTTTGAGGTGAAGTGCAGAATCGCCCACTTATTTGTTTGGTGCTTTTTACAAGAGTAAGAAGAATTAGAGTTCTGTCAATTTTCTTTGACCTTTTTAAGTGAAAATAAGTCAATGTGTACATGGATAAAGTCAAGGGAGTTCGCAATGATATTTTTGTGCAAATCTGGGATTTTTTTTAAGTGAACATTGGTTGATGTGCACATGGATACAGACTTAGTGCAATTCTTAAAAATGTGCCAAGCAGTGGGTGATTCTGGACTTTCCCCTACTTTTTGAACAATTTATTTTAATATAAGGAATATTTTAATGATATTCATTTCACTAAAAGCAATCCTTTAATGTGATAAAAAAATAAATCTGAGGTATATATTTCAATATTTAGTACAAGGTCTATGCAAATAAATTTCAAAAATACAAGTGTCCAAAAATTAATGTGCGCCACTGAAAATTTTGCGCTTTCATTGTTACATGACTTTATTCTGGTAATCTTAATTATGCTAAAAGGTCAACTTATGTATGTTTTATAAATCGAATTGAACAGTTGATAATGTTTGCCAACTTATAATAAGCACGGTTAGACTGGCGATTTATAAAAAAAAAATATTGCAAAAATCGCCAACTTGTACTCGATATGTAACCTTTACGAATGAAACCAGCAGTATTTAATATGTCTGTTAACAGCAGAAGGAATAACAGTATAAAGAGGTCAAGGTTTATCAATGCTATTTAACGCACGAATCAAGCAAATTAATATCTAAAAATATTGATGCTGCATTCTTTACGCTTTAAACTACAAAAAAAAAAAAAATTGCCAAAACAGCACTGTAAGGATTATTAACTGTAATTTTAAAAAGCAGGTTTAAAATGATACAATAATTATGAAATATAAAATTTAAATGGATAATGAAATTAATTACAGAAAATTACGTCTTTAAACTAATACACATACTTACAAATTCTAATTCACAGCCAGATTTCGGAAATAAATACGAACAAAACGGTCGGACTAATTTTGCAAATAAATATGAAACTGCTAACACAAAATTCAGCAAATGATGAGGATGAATCAGCCTCTTAAGCTCCTTAAGCGTAAAAATACTCATGTTTTCCTCAAAAATCGTATACTAAAAGGAATAATTTTTCTGAACAATTTCTATGTAATTAACTGTGTATTAGGTTTATCCATAAATAAATCAACATAAACACACATTTAAAGAGAAGTGTTCTCTCATTTCACTTCTTTTCATTTACTATGTGGAACGGTGTTTGATCAAAAAAATATATTGTAGAATGAACATAGACGTTCTTTGGTCAGGAGTAGATGCAAAATTCCTGTATGGTAATTATTAAAGTATATTAATAAAAATAATAATAATATAATATATAGTTTAGATAAGTTCTGGCAACAGTGAGTGTTGTCGTCATCAGGAGATCGTGCTTCGCGATACTGTCGTTCAAAAAAATAGATCTAGTTTGTAATTCCAATAAAAAGCATCGTATTTTTGCTCTGCTATTTGTTTTCTCTCTATTTTTAGAAATATCTTTTTAGGTTATGTATTTTTTAAGAAATCCTTTTTTAGGTGAACATTGTCACCTAAAAAAGGTCAATTGGGTCAAGCAAGCTCCCATATTGCGTTAAATGTTTTGAATTGATGTTTTCTCGAAGAAACGGAACGCGTTAAGCCCAATCAAGTAAGTGTTTTGTTTTCGTTATAGCAATCGAAAGTTGTTTAGAAATCAAAGTATGCAATTATCTAAGATCCAAGTAAAGCCTTTATCAGGTAAAAGCCATTGGCTTATATGGAAATACAGGATAAAATTTGTTTTAAATTATCATCCTGGTGCTTTAGAAATTGTAGAAGGAGCTATAGTGAAACCAGAAATTCTTCCTGTAGATGCTCCGATTGCTCAACAAGAGATATATAATGAAGCTGTTAAGAAGTTTCAAAATGCAAACACTAGTACTATGATGGTATTAACGAATTCCATAACGGAAGAAACTCTGCAAAAAGTTATGAGATTTCAGACTGCTAGAGAAGTGTGGTTGGAATTACATAAGTTATTTAAAGCATCATCAGAAAATCAATTGTATAATATATGCATGCAATTTTTTCAATTCAAGTGGAATGAAAATGATAAGGTGCTACTTTGGTAGACGGTTGCACGGATTTTTGGCGATTTACGTTGGCGCAATTTTTACAATCGTCAGCCATCTTGAAAACCGCTGTTTTTACGCATAGTAAAATATTTGAAACTTAAAAAAAAAAATAAATATCGTTAAAAGTAATGGATTAATTTTTTGTTGAAAATGTCGTTTTTTAAGATGGCAGGCAAAAGTAAATAAATACATTTACTGTGAGTATAAAGTACTAAAGTAAGGCTATTATTACTTTCATATAGCAAAAAGAGAATAAAAACACCGCTATAAAAACATTGTGCCAACGTTTAATTATATTAAAATATTACTGAAATTGAATATCGAATTAAAAACCATCCTACCAACATTTAAAAGAATTAGAATATTATTAAATTCAAATGCTTTAAAATACGTTATATAAAATATAATTAACATTAAAACATATGTGACAATAATTATCTCAGCAATTTTTGAAAATAGTGTATTAATTTTTTTAACAAAAATTGAAATATACAATTATAAAAGAAAAGAAAAATATATACTTACATTTTTTTGAGTAATTTAACCTCTTGTTTATTGATAAGTACCACGAAAAAAATCGAAATCATAATTGAATCGGATCTTTTAACCATTTTCATCTGTTATCCAAATACCTCGCACTTCATTGAAGAAGCAATTAGCGAGGTTTCCTCCAAAATTTCCTCTGACGCTATTAACAATTTATAAATAAATCTTTGATTAGGAAAGACAGGTTGGCCAAAATAAAGTCTCAAAGGGCAATTTTTTTATTCCAATACCAACAATTCTTGGTAATTACCAATAACAACATTCGTCTTCGAAACGGAGATATCCATTCCATTTGAAATCCGAGGAATTCGAAAAGATGAATAATAAAATTTTAAAATGGCGCGGTAATGCACAAATATTCAGTAACCAATCAGCGAGCTGATTACATCACGCATAGAATTAAAATTATTTAAATAATCATTAATAAATAAAATCATTTTTAAAACAAATGCAAAATTAAATTTATTTAATATTTAACAGCCATAAATAATGTTTAAAACATTAGATTAAATTTATAGATATTAATAAAACCAATTACTTTTAAGTAAGGTGACGTCATTGATTACATCATCCACAACATAAAATTATATAAAATATTATAAACAACAAAATTTTTATTTCAAATAAAAATGTAAAATTAAATTGATCTTGGTGCTACTTTGGTAGACGGTTGCACGGATTTTGGCGATTTTCCTTTGGCGAGTAATACAACTTATGCTAAACCCATTGCTGGATAAGTTATTTATGGTAACCGATACTTTTTTGTCATTTTATTTAAAAAATAGTGCGTTTTATTGTGCATAAATTCCGTGTTTAAAATATTATTTATGGCTTTTAAATATTAAAAATCAATTTAATTTGGCATTTTTATTTGAAATAAAAATTTTATTGTTTATCATATTTTATGAAATTTTATGTTGTGGATAATGTAATCAATGACGTCACCTTACTTTAAAAATAATTCATTTTAATATGTATAAATTTAATCTAGTGTTTAAACATTATTTATGGCTCTTAAATATTAAATACAATTTAATTTTGCAGTTTTTTTGGAAAATAATTTTATTATGTATGAATTATTTAAATAATTTTAATTCTAGCCGTGATATGTAATAAGCTCTCTGATTGGTTATAGACTATTTGTGCATTAACGAGCTGTAATCAGCTCCCTGATTGGTTACTGACATATTTGTGCATTACCGCACCCGCGCCATTTTAAAATTTAATTTATATATTCGAATTCCTTCAAAGATGTTATCTAAATTATGATTCTGATTTTTTATTGTGGTACTTATCAATAAACAACAGGTTAAATACTCAAAAAAATGTAAGTACATATTTTTCTTTTATTTTATAATTGTATACTTCAATTTTTGTTAAAAAATTAATACACTATTTTCAGAAATTTCTGAGATAATTATTGTCCATATGTTTTAGTGTTAATTATATTCTATATAGCGTATTTTAAAGTATCTGAATTTAATAATATTCTAATTCTTTTAAATGTTGGTATGATGGTTTTTAATTCGATATTCAATTTTAATAATATTTTAATCTAATTAAACGTTGGCACAATGTTTTTATAGCGGTGTTTTTATTCTCTTCTTTGCTATATGAAAGTAATAATAACCTTACTTTAGTATTTTATACTCATAGTAAATGTATTTATTTACACTTGCTTGCCATCTTAAAAAACGACATTTTCAACAAAAAATTAATCCATTACTTTTAACGATATTTATTTATTTATTTTTTAAGTTTCGAATACTTTACTATGCGTAAAAACAGCGTTTTTCAAGATGGCTGACGTTTGTAAAAATCGCGTCAACAATTCGGCCAACGTAAATCGCCAAAAATCCGTGCAACCGTCTACCAAAGTAGCAACTTGATTTTTAATATTTAGAAGCCATAAATAATATTTAAAATACGGAAGTTATGCATAATAAAACGCATTATTTTTTAAATAAAATGACAACAAAGTATCGGTTACCATAAATAACTTATCCAGCAATGGGTTTACCATAAATTGTATTACTCGCCAAAAGGCAAGTCGCCAAAATCCGTGCAACCGTCTACCAAAGTAGCACCAATGAGGTGATGGCAGCTCATCTTTCCAAATTAAAAAACTTATGGAATGAGTTGAATTCAAGAAAAGAAAATTGAAAATAAGTTACCTGACATGCTACTCAATTGCAAGATTTTAGATGTCTTACCAGGACAATACCGTTTGTTTAAGTCAAGTTGGTTACTCTTGGGTGAAGATAAAAGAACAGTTGATGAGTTAACAGCACAGCTTTTCTCTCATGAAAGAGAATTTAAAAGTCATGAGAAAGGCAATACAAATGAACAAGTGGCTTTAGTAACGTCAAAATCTGAAAAACAAAAGCAATATAAAAAAGACAAATCAGAAGAAAAAAACCAAGAAAAGAAGATATTTTCAATTATTGCAAAAAGAAAGAACACTGGGTAAAAGATTGTAAACAGTGGATTGCTGATGGAAGACCACCCAAGAATAGGTTAACGAAAACCAATGAAGGAAATACAGGCAGTGTAATACTAATGACCATTGACGAAGAGGTTAAGACTTATCAAACATCTTTTTGGATTGATAGTGGAGCTACAAGACATATCATGAATTGTTTCACATACTTTATTGACTTTATGAAGTTTGATAGTCCCTGTAGCATCAAGGCTGCTGGAAAAGAAACTTTAGTTGCTCTTGGTAAATCTACAGTCGGTCACAAAAGTATTCGAACACCGGCACCCATTAAGAGAATTTACTTTTCCATTGAGAAGCAAAATTGTCTCAAAAAAAAAAAAAAAAAAGGAAGGCTCATGTCAAATTTGGCTAGGTGTAGGGGAAAAAAATACAACTTGATACTTTTATGTTGAGAAACAAAAGGGTCTCCAGAGTCCATCTTGGTTCGATGGAAAAAAAAACAAAAGGATGGCTCATGTCCAAAATTGGCTAGGTGCATGAAACAAAATACAACATGACCTATCTGGGTGGGATGGGAAACAAAATGGCTGCTCACGCGATCCAGGTTTGCGCTCAGAGAAACCGCAAAGGGTCACTGCGGCCAGTCTCGGTTCGCGAAGAGTGAAAACCCAAAAGGGTCTCCAGTGTCTATCTTTGTTGGATGAGAAAACAAAAGGATGGCTCACATCCAATTTATTTAGGTGTAGGAAAATATATAACGTGACCTATCTGGGTGAGATGTCTCCAGCGATCCAGTATGGACTTAAAGGATAGGTGTTTTGTCCCCATCTGCAATAGGTGACATTTATAAACAATTCCATTGAAATCTCCTCGAAATATGGAAAGAGGAAACAGCTAATTCGTGTAAGGTTCGGAAATTGTAAGGTATTCCCAAAGAATTCCACTTCTTGAGAAAGAAAAAACATCCTAGGTCTAGAGGAGGTAGAGGGAAAGAAAAAGCATGCTGCACCTTGGAAATTTCGTATATTTATTTAAGCCACTCGAGTTTCGACTTTTCATCCGTGTGTGCTGT